GAGGAGTTTGGACCACTGGTTCCTCCTTTCGGAGCTCGCACCTTGGGCGTGCTGTTGTGCCGAGCTGTTGCCTTTGCCACGTGTTGAGCGGTTACGAGGTCGGGCCAAATCTTCCTTCATCAATTGCCCCCCACTCCTCGTGCAAAGGGACTTGCCCTGGCGCGGGGAGTTTGCGAGGTGGCGGGTGGATTTGACCCGTACTTCGAACTGGTTTGACTGATAGCATGAAGTGCGCGTTCGTCAGGATTTTTTTGGGTTTCTCAAGCGCCAAAAAGTCGGGAAACGCGCCAATCTGTCTATAAATGCTGACAGACGTGACAACGCGCGTTTATTTCAAAATTTAAAAAACGCGCCGCTGGGAGACGTGACAGCAGGCGTTATTTCAAATTTGAAAAAACACGCCGCTGCTGCTTTTAACATGGGGAGACGTGTGCCGGCGCTGTTTCAGTTTCAAAAGGCGTGCGACCAATCACGTCTTGGTCTCAGGAGACGTGCGATCAGCGCGACTGCGGGCCGTTGGATTTGCTTTGATCAGAATCGTTGATTTTTGGTTACTATGGGTATAAATAGTGGGGGACCCCAGTCGCTTTGTCATTCTCCTGCGTTTTGCTTCTTGAGCTCGTATCCAAGTTTCATCTCGCGTCCAAGTCTTTAGCTCGCGTTCAAGTTCCCGCAGTCTGTTTGCTTTTTTCGGGTGAGTACTTTCCTGGAATCCTTCTCCTCCCAATGTCTAGCTCGGATAGCTCAGACAGTTCTTCGAGGGGGTCAGATGCAGGTTCTACGAACCGAGCTGCATCCCCTGACAGCCCTAGTGAACCCGAGGTAGAGCTCAAGGAAGAGTTTGAACCCATAAGTAGAGTCGCCTCGGGTAGTTTGGCGTCCTCCTCCCGTCGATGTCGAACGTTAGACAAGTTTGGGCCCTCGACCATGATGCCTAAGGGGCTTCTCTCCCTTATTACCCAGTTCAACTTGCCTAGGGAGTACACCTATTTCATACCCTCGGGCAGTTTTCCTTGGGAACACAATCCTGATGAGATCGTGATATTCCGGGAGCAGCTCGTTGCTGGATTGCGCCTGCCTTTCCACCCCCTCATTGTCGAGGTTATGAACCACTTCGGTATTACTGTTGGCCAGCTTCACCCGAATTCTATTCGTAACTTGGTGGGGACAATCTCCCTATTTTGCGAGCAGATCTTGCCTTTAGACCTAGAGATTTTTTCTTCCGTTCTAATGCTTAAGAAGCAAGCGGGTCCCCTTCCTGGGTGTAGGCGGGTGTATTACTTGTCTCCTCGCCTGGGGTTTAAGCTTTTACACGATCTTCCCAACAAGGTCTTGGCATAGAAACGGGACTACTTCAGGGTGCGAAGTGCATTGGGGTGGCCGTTCCAAACCGGGTGGGGGATGGCTGCCCCTGATGCCGGTGTTACGCTTCATAGGGAGACGGCGAAGGGCCTCCGAGAATGGGCACGCTTGTATTAATTCATGCAAAAACTGTGTCTTGACGACCATGTCGTCTACATAACATTCTATCTTCGTGCCAATTAAGGGCTGAAACAGCTTATTCATGAGTCTTTGGAAGGTCGCCCCAACATTCTTCAGTCCGAAGGGCATGACCTTGTAGCAGTATAAGTCGAATTCGGTTATGAAGTTTTGTTTTTTCCTCATCGGACTGGTCCATCCTGATTTGGTTGTAGCCCGAGTAGGCATCCAAGAAGCTTAGCAACTCATGTCCCAAGGTTGCGTCCACTAGGCGGTCAATTCTGGGGAGGGGGAAGCAATCTTTTGGGCAGGCTCGGTTCAGGTCGGTGTAGTCGACGCACATGCGCCACTTGCCATTTGCCTTTTTTACCAGCACTGGGTTGGCTACCCAGCTCGGGTAGTGAACTTCCCTTATGAAGTCTTCTACGAGGAGCTTTTCGACCTCCTCGTCGACTGCCCTCCAGCATTCTGGGGCTAAGTTGCGTTTCTTCTGTCTAATGGGTCTGACTACAGGGTTAGTATTAAGTTTGTGAGTTATAAGGCTGGGGTTAATACCGGGCATATCGGAAGCGAACCATGCAAAAATATCTAAATTTTGAAGTAAGAAACTCACTAGTTCGGATCGTAGAGGTTCCTGGACGGAAGCACCGATCTGTAGCGTCCGAGATGGGTCCGCAGTTGAAGTTGGGATCACGACCGTTTCTTCTGTGGGCGCAGCTCGCTCTTCGCCTTGCTTCGTAGGCCGCTTCAGTTCGAGGTCGTCGGCCACCTTGGTTTTTCCCTTCAGGACGGCAACACAACACTTGCGGGACTCAAGCTGGTCACCTTGCGCTACCCCCACACCGAAGTCTGTAGGGAACTTCATTGCCAAGTAGTAGGTGGAGATCACTGCCCGTAGGACATGCGTGATTGGCCGCCCAATTATGGCATTGTATGGGGAGAGGGTCGCGAGCACCAGGAAATCGTGGTTGAGTCTGACCGCACAAGGCCATGTGCCGACTTCCATAGGTACTGTTATTTTCCCGAGGGGCCTGACTTCTTCTCCGCTGAAGCCCACCAGAGGAGTGTTCGCAGGCTTCAACTCGCTTCTCTGCAACTGAAGCTGGTCAAACGCCTATTTGAAGAGAATGTTCGTCGAGCTGCCCGAAT